GTTTACATATGTTTATTACAGTGACTGTGAATTACCTAAAGTAGTGTGGTAAAGCAACAGATTTGTTTTTATATTTTAGTTTGTGTGATTTGTTACTGACTTTCTTATTAATGTTTACACCAGGCTTATTTGTCAGTGCTTTATGTTGTCATAATTATTACATGCTTACAAGGTTGGAAGTTCAACAAATCAGTCAATATACTGTGTTTGTAGTTGTTAAATAATAATGTCATTCATATCAATTCATGCATCACCTAATTTCATCGTAACGTATAGGCCTGGCCTACAGAAAAGAACATTTATGTTTAATCTATCTAATAGTGTGTTGGTCATCCTATACAGTGATTTATAGCTTGTCTTTGTTGAATAATACAGAACATAAAGAGCTTTTAAAAAAATAATTGCATATTAAATCGCAATCGCAATATTGGTAAAAAAATCACCAGCAATTAGGTTATTTTCTAAAATCGTTCAGCCGTAATATACATTTATGTTTAATCTATCTAATAGTGTGTTGGTCATCCTATACAGTGATTTATAGCTTGTCTTTGTTGAATAATACAGAACATAAAGAGCTTTTAAAAAAATAATTGCATATTAAATCGCAATCGCAATATTGGTAAAAAAATCACCAGCAATTAGGTTATTTTCTAAAATCGTTCAGCCGTAATATATAACTTTTTGCTCAAAGTGAGTCATTTGTTGATTCAGACTAGTAACAACTGAATTCATAAATCTTTTTTGAATGATTCATTAAAAGAACCAGTTCATAAATGTCAGTTTCTCGTGAATCGATCGCTCTATTTGTTTATTTTTGTGTGCAGCCCTTGAGGACAATGCAAATATTATTTATAAATATAAATATAATTATGATTACTAATTAGCTATTTAAACTTTTTTGCTTGATGATGAATTGTCAGTGACCATTACTTCAGTCTTCAGTGTTACGTCACATGATCCTTTATAAATCTGCACGATAAATCGCATGTGATTGTGATGCGCATCTCGTCAGTAAAGCCGGTTCTGTGATTAGTAGTAAATGGGGTTGGGCCGATAGACGATCGCTGATGGCTGATGGATATCACGATGTTGAGCCGGCGTCGTGATTCCCCCCGCAATCCGTGTGTTCGGAAAGAAAATGGCGTGTACTATGGAACCCCTAAAGGGAATAAATACGAGATGGGAGGAAAATATGTATTTCAATACTTTCTCTCGCAGTTTTATCATTGGGTAATTATACTGTATATAAATTGCGGGCATCAGGGATCCGCTGTTATGCCTGGCATTGAAACTGCTTTTGAATGCACGATCGCTTTTTAGTTTCATTTTTGAGATTCGCGATCACACGTACTATGTTTATACTATAGAACTGACTTTCTTATTAATGTTTACACCAGGCTTATTTGTCAGTGCTTTATGTTGTCATAATTATTACATGCTTACAAGGTTGGAAGTTCAACAAATCAGTCAATATACTGTGTTTGTAGTTGTTAAATAATAATGTCATTCATATCAATTCATGCATCACCTAATTTCATCGTAACATATAGGCCTGGCCTACAGAAAAGAACATTTATGTTTAATCTATCTAATAGTGTGTTGGTCATCCTATACAGTGATTTATAGCTTGTCTTTGTTGAATAATACAGAACATAAAGAGCTTTTAAAAAAATAATTGCATATTAAATCGCAATCGCAATATTGGTAAAAAAATCACCAGCAATTAGGTTATTTTCTAAAATCGTTCAGCCGTAATATATAACTTTTTGCTCAAAGTGAGTCATTTGTTGATTCAGACTAGTAACAACTGAATTCATAAATCTTTTTTGAATGATTCATTAAAAGAACCAGTTCATAAATGTCAGTTTCTCGTGAATCGATCGCTCTATTTGTTTATTTTTGTGTGCAGCCCTTGAGGACAATGCAAATATTATTTATAAATATAAATATAATTATGATTACTAATTAGCTATTTAAACTTTTTTGCTTGATGATGAATTGTCAGTGACCATTACTTCAGTCTTCAGTGTTACGTCACATGATCCTTTATAAATCTGCACGATAAATCGCATGTGATTGTGATGCGCATCTCGTCAGTAAAGCCGGTTCTGTGATTAGTAGTAAATAGGGTTGGGCCGATAGACGATGGCTGATGGATATCACGATGTTGAGCAGGCGTCGTGATTCCCCCCGCAATCCGTGTGTTCGGAAAGAAAATGGCGTGTACTATGGAACCCCTAAAGGGAATAAATACGAGATGGGAGGAAAATATGTATTTCAATACTTTCTCTCGCAGTTTTATCATTGGGTAATTATACTGTATATAAATTGCGGGCATCAGGGATCCGCTGTTATGCCTGGCATTGAAACTGCTTTTGAATGCACGATCGCTTTTTAGTTTCATTTTTGAGATTCGCGATCACACGTACTATGTTTATACTATAGAGCGGCAGTACTTACCACACATTTTACAAGATTAGATGTTTGTCAGTGGTGCTCAGAATCTGCAAATCATTCGCCATCATCCTCAGTCATCTCTCCTTACTCTGTTTATGTGGTAAGTGAAATTTTAAGTACTGTAATGTAACAGGCAACCGTTAGCAAATGTTATTTGTTTTCCATGCCTTTCTAAATACGGATTCACGCTTCAGGCACTGTATTAAATGCAGCTCCATCTGAAAGCACGTGCTGGAGATTTACTACTAATCACAGAACCGGCTTTACTGACGAGATGCGCATTACAATCACTTGCGATTTATCGTGCAGCCCTAAATCATTCTAATATGCGAAACTCAATAAATATTTCCTATTATCAATGTTAAAAACAGGTTTTCACTAATATTTTAATGGAAACATTTTTTTTTTCTTCAGCAAGGACTCATTACATTTATCAAAAGTGACAGTAAAGAAATGTAGAATGTTACAAAAGTTTTGTATTTTAAATAAATGCTGTTTTATTTGAACATTATATTAATTAAAGAATGCTGAAAAATTGATTGTGGTTTCTACAAAAATATTAAGCCTCAAAAGCTGTTCCAGTGTTTTTCCAGCGTTTATAAGAGAATCATTATTTATAATTGAGCACCAGAATGAGCACCAAAGAAGCATAATAGAATGATTATTTGTAGTGTACATTTTCACTCAACTGACAGAATACTTTATACAAACAAATGGTCACATAGTTTAAATAAATAATAGACAAATAATTTATTTACCGTATTTGTTGTTTGTGTCAGCCCTATCATTTAAAAGTTGCTGCTCAAGCCTTTTTTGGCTCAGAATTAAAAAAAAAAAAAATTATCTTTTGTTCTTTTCAGGTGGAGTTTATTTCCATTCTCTCCAGCACACCCACTGGAAGGCCCCAACATTGGCTGAGTGCGTGGATACTCTGTGTTTGAGTGTGCGTATGGTCAGCTGAAAGACGAGATAACTCCACATTGTCAGAGAAGAAAGTGCAAGCATGTCTCAAGGCACTCCCTTGAGGCCGCGTCCCCCTGAGATCCTTATGTAATGCCTCCTCATCTGCTAATAGACGGCAGCTGGGCCTGATACACTCACACGTACACATTTAAGGAAGTCTCTGAAGTGTCCCAAGGAAGAAGTTGAACTCTTGTCCATTGTTTTCTCTTTGACCTCATCCTCCCTCAATCTTCACATTCTCACCTGTGAATCCCAGGATTCCTCTGAGCTCCAAAGTCTTCTTTTCGGAATCGCTCCACTGACCTGGATCGGTTCCCAGGCGTTTTGAGGTGTGTGCAAGCTTAGCGCTGCTCTTTCACCTGTTTTTTGTCTCTGTGCAAGCTCCATCAAGAGAGGTGTTTTAGCTGGAGCATTCCTCTCATTTCATGCACCTTGTCTCAAAAAGCGAAAATTTGATCTAATCAGCCATGCAGGTGTAAGCCTGTTTACTTTGGAAGATACTGGCCTGTCCTTCGAAACTAACCTGTGGATCAGCAATGCTTCGACTCAGGAGAGAGACACTTGAGGTTCCATTTTTTAAGGTGCAGTGTAGCGCACGTGTTGGTTGAAATGAAGGAAAGACATTTTTATATTTTCTGAGTGTGGATGGTGGGGGCAAATTGTTAATGGTTGATTCCTTCGTTGTCGTTGCTCCCTTCAAAACTGGACTACACCAAAACTGAGAAAAATCCTCCTGTCCCTCTTTTTGTCTTTTGCTGTTTCATTTTTTTTATATCTGTTTTGGTCTTTTTCAACTCCCAGTTCACAGCAGAAAAACTCCAGGACATTAATTGATTACAGTGCTGCTTATCAAAACATCAAACTCAAATATATATTTAAAATATTAGTTATCATTCAAAAAAAGAAAAAAAGCTAATTCATACACATTGCTCTCCTCTACCTCTTATTTTATACAGTATACAGTAACCTCATATTTTATACAGTAACATATTTTTAAAGCACCACTAAAGAACTGGTTGAACCCAATTTTTTTTTTCACAGCAGTTCCCATATTCAAGTCCTTTTTTGTGGCACTTTTTAAAGTTTATCCTAAACCTTTAGAAATAATTTTTTTTTATATATATATAATTGTTTTAAATGACCCAAAAATAGATTTTGAGCAATTTCTGTTAAATTTTGTTAAATGCTTTAATAATTTACAAGCCAGAGTGTTTTAAATATCAGAAACTTTTTTAATCATTTTCAATTTTGAGAATTTGTTTTTGTGTTTTTGCAACAATGCTCATCTTGTGGCCTTTTTGTATAACGCTGAAAGGGCAACGACTTCTCACCTAGTCTTTCTTTGCATTTGTGCTGTCTTGACAACACAAACACACTCACAAACGGATCATTTTCCGGGGCACGCTGCCATCCTGCCCCCTGGGTGATGCCGAGCGGCAGCATGAGTGGGGGCGTGTCTGGACCCACTTCCTCACCCCACCCCACTGTTCCATCCAGACCTCTCCGGCCTAGTCGCTACGTGCCAGTCTCTGCGGCAACGGCCTTCTTGGTCGGATCAACCACCCTCTTCTTCTGCTTCACGTGAGTACACAAACACGTTTACTAACACTGATTGCTGCAATCATTTATGATGGATGAGTCAACATGTACTGGTAAATAACAGTGATCAAAAATGTATTGCTGCGCTGTGGAGTGAATAATGGCAGGTTTTTGCCTAGAACTCATTCAGAAGCACCAAATTATTCTACGTGGAATTGATTTTTGCTGGCACGGTTCATTAAGATGAAGTCTTATTCTCTACAACACAGCAGTGTGTGTTCACTTGCTCACAGTATGACAGTACACACAAGCTAGGTGAAAACTATTTTGGATAAAATGGGTGTAACATTTGAATGCTATCTTTATTGCATATGAGTGTGAACATCAGGCTGACCCTGTAGATTATACTGTTTATGTGCAAGCAGTAAACTGTTGACATAATTTTATAAATGCTTTGTATTGTGAGTTTGCACATATTGCGCATATTGTTACTGTACAAGTATATCTGTAACTTGAATTAATACTTAATGAAGTAACAATTAGTTTGAACAAAAGATGGTTCTTACTGATGTTAAGCATATTCATCATAGGGGGATGAGAGGTGACAGCATGCACTTCTCGTTCTTATTTAAACATTTAGAAAAAATTACTAAATACCATGTATGTCCTTTTTAATATCCCTTTGCTTCGTTATCATTTATCACCGCTATAACAGATAAATTTATATAAAATCCTGTATAAAGCGATTCAAGTGCACAGGATTCCATTATTTTACTTTACAAAATAGCTTGTCTGATGATGATCATGTGGCAGCAGTTGCAAGGTAGGATAGTATGTTAACGTCATTCCAGTGCTGTCATTTTTCATCCTTTTTATCATTAAATGAGCCACAGCTGAGATTATTATAGTCTCTTGTGTTAAAATAGCTAGAATAGTCTTTTTTGTATATATATATATTTTTTTTTATTTTTGACGGCATGCATCTGAGCAATACGCTTCTAATAATATCCTCAGTTCATAAGTTAATGTTCAATACAGCAGGCTGTATCTTAAATATCAGAATTGACCTTGCCTGTATTGTATTAAAATACTTCTTTGCTTATTAATAATCTATATTAAATGTTTTGAAGGATGACGATCAATATTCTATATATTTTGCTTGATTTTCAAAAGACTCACAACTTTCAACAATTCTGATCTAATGTAAATTAGTCTCTGTTTCCTACTTCATTTCTTATTTATCACCGCTATAACAGATAAATTTATATAAAATCCTGTATAAAGCGATTCAAGTGCACAGGATTCCATTATTTTACTTTACAAAATAGCTTGTCTGATGATGATCATGTGGCAGCAGTTGCAAGGTAGGATAGTATGTTAACGTCATTCCAGTGCTGTCATTTTTCATCCTTTTTATCATTAAATGAGCCACAGCTGAGATTATTATAGTCTCTTGTGTTAAAATAGCTAGAATAGTCTTTTTTGTATATATATATATATTTTTATTTTTATTTTTGACGGCATGCATCTGAGCAATACGCTTCTAATAATATCCTCAGTTCATAAGTTAATGTTCAATACAGCAGGCTGTATCTTAAATATCAGAATTGACCTTGCCTGTATTGTATTAAAATACTTCTTTGCTTATTAATAATCTATATTAAATGTTTTGAAGGATGACGATCAATATTCTATATATTTTGCTTGATTTTCAAAAGACTCACAACTTTCAACAATTCTGATCTAATGTAAATTAGTCTCTGTGTCCTACTTCATTTCTTACATGAAGTAATATAAAATATTTTTCCAATGAGGATTTATGCATTTTGACACAGTTAGTAACACTGATGTAAATCCAAAAAGGATTTCTGGTCTTAGGAGTCACCTTCCTGCCAATGTTACTTACAGTTAAGAGAACACCAGACTTTGTTTTTTACAGCACCCATACCAAAGTCCCCTGCGAAGTTAATAGATTGACGTATTGACACTGAAATGGACATGATGTTGATGTTTATGTTAATACATGTTTATCAGCATTTAAAGTGCAGTCAACGCTGTTTTCTTTTATTGAAATTGAGAAATCACATCAGCTTCCTGTTGACTTCTTGTGCCCTGTATTCTGCAATTCGTGACCTGTAAATATAACAGGAACATGAAATAGTCATCATGCCAAAAAAAAACATCTTTTTTGTATATATATATATTTTTTTTTATTTTTGACGGCATGCATCTGAGCAATACGCTTCTAATAATATCCTCAGTTCATAAGTTAATGTTCAATACAGCAGGCTGTATCTTAAATATCAGAATTGACCTTGCCTGTATTGTATTAAAATACTTCTTTGCTTATTAATAATCTATATTAAATGTTTTGAAGGATGACGATCAATATTCTATATATTTTGCTTGATTTTCAAAAGACTCACAACTTTCAACAATTCTGATCTAATGTAAATTAGTCTCTGTGTCCTACTTCATTTCTTACATGAAGTAATATAAAATATTTTTCCAATGAGGATTTATGCATTTTGACACAGTTAGTAACACTGATGTAAATCCAAAAAGGATTTCTGGTCTTAGGAGTCACCTTCCTGCCAATGTTACTTACAGTTAAGAGAACACCAGACTTTGTTTTTTACAGCACCCATACCAAAGTCCCCTGCGAAGTTAATAGATTGACGTATTGACACTGAAATGGACATGATGTTGATGTTTATGTTAATACATGTTTATCAGCATTTAAAGTGCAGTCAACGCTGTTTTCTTTTATTGAAATTGAGAAATCACATCAGCTTCCTGTTGACTTCTTGTGCCCTGTATTCTGCAATTCGTGACCTGTAAATATAACAGGAACATGAAATAGTCATCATGCCAAAAAAAAACAAAAAAAATGGCCCATCCAGTTGGCACACAAGAGGAAATCTGGGGGGCTTAAGTCAGATGCTGTGTCACGTCTGTTCATTCTTGTCATTTGTCCCCTCTGATCCCTCTCTTCTCACCAACTCCTCGGATTAAACACTGAAAGGCAATGAAAATAGGACAGCATCTGTCATAAAGTGCCACTTCCCTCTCTATTTTCTTCTTTAATTTCTCTCTGCTGCCTGTTTTTGTGTTGTTACACATCCTATGTTTTGTGGTACCCTCTCTTTCCCAGGAGAAATTGTATGGTTATCTGTGCGTCTATATTGCTTATAGTAAGAATGTGGCTAAAACATTATCAGTCAGTGTGTTCCCTTGACAACCAGCTCTTTTCCTAAATTAGGACGGTTAAGCAGACTTGACAAAGATATATAAAAGCATACATGAAGTGTGTGATTTCAGTCTCATTCTGTGTCTCATTCATGCCTCTTTTTCTCACAGGTGCCCTTGGCTTTCAGAGCAGTTTTCCGTCACTGTGCCAATATACAATGGCATTATGTTTCTGTTTGTTCTGGCCAACTTCTGTATGGCCACCTTTATGGATCCTGGCATCTTCCCTAGAGGTAGTAAAAACAATCTGCGATGTGATGTATCTGTGTGTGTGAGTATACAGCTGCAATAGAATGTGTGGCTGTCTTATTGGAAAAACAAACCACCTTATATATAAACCACTTAATATTTTTTTCACCTCTTCTTCATTTAGTCTATACTTCAGACTGTATTTCAGTCGATGAATAGATTTTTTTTTTCATTTAACTGACCTTGATGTACTAAACATCAGCTAAATCAACCTTAAAGCAGTGTTTTTATTATTAACTAAAACTAACAAAAATGATTTCTGACATTTTGAATAGAAATTAAATAATGTATATTAGATAAAGAACTTATATTAAATAAAAAAATTAACCTAAACAAAGATTAGAAATGTTGAATGTTAATCAGTACTACAATAGTATACACTAACATAACACTGTCTTAAAGTCAACATGAAAATGCATTCCCAGTCCATTTCACTTCCCTAATATTTCTGAGTGAAATGTAATATTCAACAAGGGAAAAAAACTCCTGTATATTAATTGGCTATTAGTTATTTTCTTTGTGTGGCCTAGGTGACTTCACTCGAAAAAGCTGTTTATTTTATTGCATTTTAATAAAATGTTATGAAGACAGATTTTATTCATTTGGAGTAACATGAACTAATGAATTGTGCACAAGAAGATGTGTGTTAAAGAGCACAACGGTTATAAAGTAAACAGGGTTTGTTGACTTAAGCAGTAGTTTAATAAAATACAACTGTAAATTGATCCACTGAGGAAGGCTTGTTAAACTCTGTGTGTGTGTGTGTGTGTGTGTGTGTGTGTGTGTTGTAGCTGAGGAAGATGAGGATAAAGAGGATGATTTCCGAGCTCCTCTTTACAAGACTGTGGAGATTCGAGGCATTCAAGTGCGGATGAAGTGGTGCTCCACCTGCCGTTTCTACAGACCCCCGCGTTGCTCACACTGCTCCGTGTGCGACAACTGTGTGGAGGTAAACAAACACACACACACACACCTTATTCCAGTGATTGTGTTCAGATGTGACTTCAGTATGTGCGTTGACAAAACGAATAACATTACAAAACATAGCAATTCCATAACATTTGCAGTTCTTGTTTCTTTTTTCTAAGGGTATATCTTTGTCATTAATCAGTCTGTCCACTCTTGCTCTGACTAATGCTTTGCAGACTAGACTGATCGATTTGTGTTAATTAAGTAGAGAAGTGTGCTTGATTTGGACAGCCTTAAGCTTTTCTCTCTCTTTCACCATTATGACACACACATATGCAACTTGCCTCTTTTCTCCTTGCAGGATTTTGATCATCACTGTCCATGGGTCAACAACTGTATCGGCCGGAGGAATTACCGTTACTTCTTCCTGTTCCTGCTCTCTTTGACGGCTCACATAATGGGCGTGTTTGGCTTCGGCCTGCTTTTCATTCTCTACCACACCCAGCAGCTCGACAGCGTGCATTCGGCTGTCACGTATCCTCAAACAATTGTTTCATTTTATGTGTGCTCACACCAAAACTTTTGTCCAAAAATTCAGACTGTGCAACAGTGTCTTTGAGTGAGAGCTGATTTGTATGATGATTTACTGTTTCCTCCTTGACCCTTTATCAGTATGGCTGTCATGTGTGTCGCTGGGCTTTTCTTCATCCCAGTGGCAGGTCTCACTGGTTTCCATGTCGTTCTGGTGGCAAGAGGCAGGACCACCAATGAGCAGGCATGCACATGCGCAATCATAATCATAGTCTGTTGCCGTGTTTGTTTTCCTGTCAATAACCATGTTGTTGGTGGTGGTGAACTGGAATTAAAATCCCTATTAAGCAGTTTTATAATCCTACAAAATATGACCTTCTCTCAGCCCTTGTTCTTTAGATTGTAATCTCATCTTAATCCTCTTCCCAAACCAGTTTCTGCCCATCTCTCCTCCTTTTTGTGTTGACCACGTGTGCACACTTCTGTATCTTATTGTCATACTATTCTTCCTTGCGGCCACATTCCATCTCTTTTTTTATTATTTTTAAATGTTTTATGACAAATCACTAATAAAGTAACTACTAAGTTGTTACCAATAAACAACTATTGTTTATTGGTCAACTCTGTGTTTGTAGGTAACGGGGAAGTTCAGGGGAGGTGTGAACCCCTTCACAAACGGCTGCTTGAGGAACGTATCACACGTTCTGTGCAGATCACAGGCACCCAGGTACGTTTTCCCCTACATTTATAACTTTGACCTATATGTTGTATTTTCTTATTGAGGTTTTAACACAGTGTTGTATTCTGATCTCTCAGGTATCTGGGCAGAAAGAGGAAGGCTCAGACAGTGTCTGTTCAGCCTCCTTTCCTCCGACCGCAGCTTACGGAGGCTCAACTGGCAGCCAAGGTGCTCGACAATGGGATCCAAGGAGACCTTCACCGGGTAAGGAAATAAAGTATTTTTACTTATTTTCTTCAGTGCTCTTAAGGCTTCTCTCCATCCTTCTCCTTTTGGAAGAACAGTCTCTCAACTGGTATGAAATATTAGGGATTTTTTAATTAGTATTTTCCAGGCAAGAGAAAGCCAAGGAAATTAAATTGTAGATATTACTCTTGTGTTTTTGTGTGCAAGTTATTCCTTAGAGTCTGTTCTTTCTAATAAATTGTTCAGTGATTCACAAATCACAAATTGTTCTTAATAAGTCATTATGAAGTCAGTCTGAATTTGAATAATTTATAAAAACCCTTATCTGGTAACTAGTCAGGCCATGGAAATTCATGACTTGAAGGGGTCATATGATGCTATTTTAAAGATCATTATTTTGTGTATTTGGTGTAACAGAATATGTTGACATGCTTTAATGTTCAAAAAACACATTATTTTTTCAAATACTGTACATTATTGTAGGTCCTCTATGCCCCGCCTCTCTCAAACACATCGTTTTCAACAAAGCCCCCTCCTTTAACAAGCGCAGTCTGCTCTGATTGGCCAGCTGACCCAGTGCATTGTGATTGGCCGAACACCACAAGCACGCAGCGGAAATGTAACGTCCCTTACCATAATCGCGAGCTTCAGCTTTCAAAGTAAATATCAAGACAGTTAATAATGTCTTAGTTTTACCATCAGTTCAAGCCCCAAAAGGGCAACAGAGTCGCGTGACAGACACAGTGATGATG